GTATGTTATGCTGTTAATTCATATAAAAATTTATGTTTAGGTGTGGCACATCATCTTCATTTAGTAGTATGCAATGGTCTTGGACTTCGGGTTCATGCAAAACAAGATTCATCTTTACCAATTCTTGCTACAACATCAACAATTAATAAAGATGAAGTTGATTCAGATGAAGAAGATTTCTCGGATGATATTCAACTTGTTTCACAACCATCACCAATAAATAATTCATCGAATTTTATTGTATCATCAGATCAATCATCACTTATGGCAAATCAATCTTTGAACATGAACAATGATGATGTTATTGTGAGTGAAATATCAATTAGTGAAGAACAAAAGAATTTATCAATCGATATTGTGGATAATTGGTCAATGGATGTTATTGAATGCCTTGATCCATCTACAAGTGATTCAATACAACAACATATAGATAATGTGATGAAAAAATGTAGGTCGATCGTGAAGCTGATAAATAAATCTTCAATTTTAATGAATTATGTACTCAATCTTAAAAAATAAGTCAATATTCATCGTTCTCTTCAACTTGATTGCAATAATCGTTGGAACTCGTCGTATCATTTAGTCGAAGCAATGTTAAAATACAAAACAATTATAAATAAAATCACTAGTGAAAAACATGATATTGATCTTAATAAAAAACAAACAACAAAACTTTCTTCAATTGAATTAGATCAAGATGATTGGAAGATGTTAGAATTAATTAAATTTGTTTTTAAGTCCTTTGTACATGCAACAGAACTTGTAAGTGGTAGTCAATATCCAACCATTGGTATTAGTTATTTTGCCATTTTTCAAATTCCAGAATTTCTCGAAGATGTCAATGACTAAAGTGTTAATGATTGGTAAATATTATATTATTTAAAATCTTTATTGCTAGAAAAATTACAAAAATATTTTATTGATAATGATGTACAATTGGAAATTATTAAAGTAAGATTTTTTTAAATTTTAATATTCAATTGAAAATAAATCTCTTTTATTTCAAGACGTACTCCTATTTTGATCCAATTGGTTACGGTTGTTTAATAAGAAGAAAACGACGAGCATGTGAAGTTTATATTATTGAATTAGAGGAACAACATGCTATTGAAGAGGTCAACGATGAAGCTGATGTCAATCAAATGCAATAACAAATTAATATTCAACGAAAATCTGAAGAATCGAACTCGTCTTGTATGATCAAATTTCTTAATTCTGTTGGTAAAGCATTTGTAGCTTCATCATCATCTGTTACAACATCAAATAAAAGTAAATTAATCGAAGAAATTTATGTGTACAGACCTTTAGCTCAGCGAAAATACAATAGTATTATCAATGCTGAAAAAAATTCAAATGTTGTAAGTTTCATGCAATTAAAATAATTTTTTATTTCACAACTGACTACTTTTTTCGATTTTATAGATGAAGCTTTGAAATATACATCGAATTCAATTGAAGCGTTTATATAAATATGCTGCTTATCATATTGCTAGTCCAGTAACTTCTGTTGCATCCGAAAGTGCTTTTAGCACAGCTTCATATTTATTACGTAAACAACGATCCAGATTAACACCTGAAAATTTATCTTCTTCGATGTTTCTTAAGGACAAACTCAATGATGATTTCAATATATAAAAAAAATGATATAGGACTCAAAAGCAGTATCTTCGACCATTTTCTTATAGAATTTATTATTAAAGACCAACTTTATTTTCTTTTGATGTTTTTTGTTATCATATTTTATTTTACTATTTGTTTTATACTTAAAATTTGTTTTGTTGCTTATGTATTGATTACCGCGATAAACACTTATTGATATTGATATAATAAAAGAATGAAATATGATCCATTTAACAAGCTTATTTTAAAAAAGAACTGAACATAATAGACATGACAAATTATGCAAAAGGAAAACTAACTACTCAAAAATAATCTAGATTTCTTTTTTATTTATGATCCTAGCAGGGTCAAAATCAGATCTACATAGAAAATCTTCAGAGGCAATTTCGAGGAGCTCCATCATATTGGATGTAATACTGTTCTCTATCTAGAATTCATAAGAGCAATTCGACCGTTTTGAAATTTTACGATAATACTGATTATATACGTAACGAATGATCTGGTGTATTATATAAGAAATTTCATTCAGAACAGCTTTTTGATCGATGAGTAAACACTCAAGATAATTCATTAAAAATCAACAGTATGCTATGCTATACACCCTAGCAAGCACATCACTATAAAATTATGGCATTGCAGGCTTTTTTTCTTTTACTTTATGGATAACAAGCTGAATTACAAGATTATTTGGTAAATAATATTAATTAAATAAAAAAAGTTTCTCCAGATGCTATAGATATCTATGGCAAAATAGAGTCATCTATTCAAATCAAGGAAAATGGTCTGCATCATGGTACTAATTTCAGAGTTATCTACAAACTGTGTATGGTAATATCAGGAAAAGCTCCCACTTGATTTTTCAGAAATATATTTTTCAGACCGTGCTTTTAAGATTAAAATGTTGATAGTTTTCGAAACGATATTTTGATCACTATAAGCGTACAATTAATAGAAGAGATATGATTTTCATCGATACGCAATATTATATTACAAGCCTATTTCAAGTTAGCAAATATAGAACAGCTTATAGAAAGGCATTATAGATTTATTGCATCAAAATAATTGTTTTTCAATAATATCTCAAAATCAAAATCAAAACCCAAAAAAAAACAAACCTGCTCGAGATCAATACGATCGATACCAAAACCATATCAAAACCAATACTGCGAAACCAAAACTGTATCGAAATCAATACTTCAAAACCAAGAGTTTTGGCTTTGGTGCACGCCTAAGTATGTTTTACTAAAGATCAATCAATATTATAAACACATGTATAAAAATAGACGATCGAGAAAATTTGTT